TGTTCCACAGTTAATGTTGTCTTGCGAAAAATTTGTCTTGCGAAACGCGTTTTCCCATAGGAATGCATTGAAATCTAATTAATGAGTTCCTATGGGCAAACAGCATTCCGTGTCTAAATCACACTGGCCATGTGACCATGGAAAGATTGTCTTCGGACAAACGCTGGCTCTATGGCTTGAAGAGCAGGATGAGCGCCGCCCCCTAGAGTCGGACACGACTGGACAAAAAAAAATTGTCAAGGGGAACCTTTACCTTTAACTTTATGGGCAAAAAAGTCAGAACAAAGTCATATTTGGTTTACAAAGGGTTTATTAAGTGCTTTTTAAAGCCATACATATTGTGCAGATGATTTAAAAAATATCAATAAAAAAAACTTTAACTTTTTATTTATTTATTTATTGAATTTATATGCCACCCACTCTACCCAGAGGTCTCTGGGCGGCTTACAATAATTAATTTTTAAAGATCATAGAAAAACATTTAAAAATCAGCAAACATGAGGCAGGAACAAAAAATGGAAAACATTCGTTTTGCGAAGCACGGCCATAGGAACATTTGTCTTGCGAGTCATCAACCCCATCGTCAAAACCATTTGTCTTACGAGTTTTTGTCCTGCAAGGCATTTGTCTTGCGAGGCGCCACTGTACTGGTGTATGTAGGCAAATACAGTGGTGCCTTGACTTACGGACGTCCCTGCTTACGAAAATTTTGACTTACGAAAAGCTCTGGCCGCAAAATTTTGCTTCGACTTGCGGCCGGAGATTTAACTTACTGACAAAAAAAAAACACCCGTGGGGAAGTGGACTTGGACTGCCTGGTACTGTAATTTTAAAATGTAAAAATTGGTGTAAAAGGTGTTCCCTCCCTCCCTCCCTCCTTTCCTGCCCTTTTTTTAAAACTTTAGGTCAGCTTAGGTTAAAAAAAATCTCCCCCTAGTGGTAAAGCACAGATTAACGGGCTTTGCATTAGTTCCTATGGGAACTAATGCTTCGAAGTACGAACGGCGCCTCGACATAAGAAACAAAAACAGCCGGAACGGATTAATCAGTTTTCAATGCATTCCTATGGGAAAATTTGCTTTGACTTACTAGACTTTCCAGTTGCGGCTGCTGTTCCAATACAGATTAACTCGAGGCACCACTGTAGCAAGATGTGTGTTTTTTGTGGGTTTTTTGGTCAAATTTGTGTTCTTCCATGGAAAGTCTACCTTAACAGTTTTTCTACTTTGGGTTTCTTTAATAAAATCATCATCATCATTTTAGAACTGCAGGACTGGATCATCGAGTGCAGCTCCTGTCAGGGAGGCACAGTGGAAAGTCAAACTCTCAATGTCTGGCTGTGCAACCAGATACCTAAACCACCAAGCTATCCAGCAATTCAGGCTGTTTAGTTTTTTTTCTTCAAATTCTTTGAAAACACAGCTTCTTTGCAAATTCTTTGCAAACACAAGTTTTAAAGTGAACTTTCTTCTTTCTCCCGCTCAGTATCCCACAGAACCACCAGATTATATAGTGGATTTGCCAGTGCAGTTCTTTGTATCCTGGACTCCATTGGTAAGCAATCTTCCATTTTTAACTCAAGTTGGAATGAACTTACCTGCTTGTCACAGTGTAATATAAAATGTATTCATTTATTTATTTAGTATGCTACCTTTCTCCCCATAGGGCGTCCAAGTTAAAAATACCATACAGAAGTATATATTAATAAAATCAATTAAACATTGGTCAAGATTAAAGACAATTTTGAAAACATCTAAATTTGATTCTCGTTTTTCATCCGATAAAAATGTTGGTAAGGGTTTGAAAACAAATGATTCAGGCATCTTCATGTGGGCGAGAGAGTGATTTTCTTAGCTTTCGGCACCCCATATTAGACCTGAGCAGACTGGAGATGGATTCCCAGATGATATTTTGTGAGCTGTGTCATGGTAGTGGCCTAGAATCTTTGAATTTGTATTTAGATTTGCACATAGAAAAAAAAATGTGAAAAGCTTGTGTCTGTGAGAGCTGTGGATCTCATTCTGACCTATTAAAAATAACCTTGCTAGAAATCTTTTAATCCCTTTTAAATATAGATGCTTGCCTACCATATATTATTTGTATGGAATTATTACTTTGCACTGTTCATGGGATGCTGCCCTCTAGCAAAAATGCAAAATATTTAATTATGCAGACGTTTCCCCTGTTATAATTACCTCTTCTGTTATCTGAATAGTACTGTGAGAATATTGTATTTCCGAAACAACACAACAAAAGCAAGCCAGTTTATATATTGTCATCCAGTTCCCTTCCTCACACACGCATACCTCCTTGTAAAGCTCTGGCAGATATACTCATTTGGTTTGTGAAATTCAAGATGCACAGAAAAATTACAGAAGTATGAAAAGTGTCATCCACATTCAAGACCTAAATTCCTGAGACTGTCTCCTGGGTTCCACAGGGTGTGTAATAAAGGAAGGAATGGTGATGTGTTTTCCTTCTTTTTGTTTGAGGTGACAGGATGAATTTGCTTCACTTATTGTGCCCTTGGTTCATATTCTGTTATGTCCTCCTACAGCCTTAAGTTTCCAACATACAGCTACTTTCTACTGTAGCTTCAGGGCTGAAGACCATCTCCTCCGTTGAAATTCAAGATGCACCGAAAAATTGCAGAAGTATGAAAAGTGTCATCCACATTCAAGACCTAAATTCCTGAGACTGTCTCCTGGGTTCCACAGGGTGTGTAATAAAGGAAGGAATGGTGATGTGTTTTCCTTCTTTTTGTTTGAGGTGACAGGATGAATTTGCTTCACTTATTGTGCCCTTGGTTCATATTCTGTTACGTCCTCCTACAGCCTTAAGTTTCCAACATATAGCTACTTTCTACTGTAGCTTCAGGGCTGAAGACCATCTCCTCCGTGGTCTCTGATGGTTACCATTCTTAGAATAATTGAGTGGCATCTACTCTCTAGCAAACTTATATCAATCTCTTACATAATTCTTGCTATGTTAGCGTACAGGAGTTGGAAGCCTTCAAACATGTAATTTTTTGTGGAAAAGCATATCTTAGACTATCATTCTGAAAAGTTACAATTTTTGAAAGAGACTTACGAAAGGATATAGAAATTTTCGAATCCCGTAGATTCGAAAGCAACCAACATGAACCTGACACAACTCCGGGAGGCAGTAGAAGACAGGAGGGCCTGGCGTGCTCTGGTCCATGGGGTCACGAAGAGTCGGACACGACTAAACGACTAAACACACACACACATAGAAATTTTCTCCTTTGATTATTTGCTATTTTCAGTTTTACAAAGAGAACCAACAAAGTTTTACAAACAGAACCAAAAAAGATTGGGGGGTGGGATTCTGTGATGTTGAATTTTCTGCATTGATAGGGGTCTAGACTTAAACGATCATTTATATGAGTCCAAGTCCAGAAGAATTTTAGGAGGTATTCTTGGTGGCTGCTGCTATAATTCTTCTGGACTTTTCCAAGATTCTGGCTTACTGAGCAATGGTGATCATTTATATGAGTCCAAGTCCATCCAGAAGAATTTTAGGAGGTATTCTTGGTGGCTGCTCCTATAATTCTTCTGGACTTTTCCAAGGTTCTGGCTTACTGAGCAATGGTATACAGAGCACCACCTGCCGTTATTGAACTATTATTCAGATAGTCCAAAAAGCATCATATAGACTAGGGGTCCCCAACCCGCGGCCCAGTGCCGGTCCGTGAGCTTCACAGGACCAGGACGTGGAGATAGATATCCTGCCCCCCCTGCACACATGCATGGTGGGTGTGGCACACATGGTACGCTCGCGGACGTGTGCACCCCATTCACCCGCGAGTGTGCCACAGCCACCCGTGCATGCGTGCGAGCACGACACACCCATCCGTGAGTGCGTCCCACACATGTGCATGAGTGCGACATGCCCATCTGCAAATGTGCCACACAAGCGCAGGGGGTGCCCCTGCCCCCCCGCACACGGACCCCGCCTCCCCAATGGGTCCGCAGTTCTGAAAAGGTTGGGGACCACCTCTCCCTCTCCTATTGTTTCCTCCCTCTCCTAAGGTTTCTTCTATTTAAAATTTTTTTATACTATTTTATGCTGTTAGCCACCTAGAGTGGTCTTAACCGACCAGATAGGTGGGATATAAATAAAATCAAATAAATAAAATAAAGACTACTAATGACTTCAGGTCTTCTGTGTACCTTTGCTTAGCCGAGTGGTCGTATAGACCAGATGGGCGGGATACAAATCAAATAAATAAATAAATAAATAAATTAGTAAACCAGAAGCTTGGAAAAGTACAGAAGAAGGTATTCTTAGCGGTTGTTTTTAGGAGGTATTCTTAGCGGTTGTTTCCATGTCGAGGAAGGCAAGGCTGGACCTGTTCCTGTTGTATTTCCGTTGACAGGAAAAGGCCTTTTTATTCAATCAAGTTTTTGGCAACAGAGCAGTTGCTGGGGATGAGGCTTTTTACTGTGGTGTTATTTCCCCCTGTTATTGTGTTTGCAATTCTAAAATAATGATGATGATTAATATTTAAATTTGCCTGTGTTTAATTGTATTTTGCTCAGTCTTGTGGATCCCATTGAATATATTTTTGGGAGAAAAGTGATATAGAGATCCAATAAATAAATAAATATCAGGAGGTGGGGAATCAAAAGCACATCCAGTATCTATGAAATTATAAATGTTGTGAAGACTATGGGAGCGTAGTACTACCGTGGTGTCTCGTGAAGGAAGGAAGGCCTGTGTAACAGACTGAAGCATCATTGAACACAATTTTATAGAGCACTAGTTTGTTGCAGATGCCTTCTAAATGATGCTGCTGAGGAAAATTCTCAGTCAACGTTGTCATCCAGACTAATGTGGCAGAAATTGGGCAGTTTGAATGTGAGTTGTGACTTAAAATGGTAAATAATAGTAGTCTTTAAAATACCTCATTTTGCAAATTTGATAGGGCAATATATAATTGTATGGACAGTTTTTGTTTCTATTGGTGGCATTTGCAAAAGGTCATTGTTGGTGCTAATAAAGCTTTTGGTTTGAGGAGACATTTTAAACCCTTGGGTATTGATGTAATAAAGCTATACCTTTCTAAGGACAACAGCAATGATATAAATCTTGGGTTTTAGGGTTGTGCAGTCATTGTCTTTTTTTAAAAATGCATAGCCAGTAATTGATTGAGGGGCAATTTTCACTTTTTCCTATGGGGACGTGTATAACCAAGTAAAAAGTAGAAACACATCTGATCAACAGTAAAAACTACATGAATTAGAATCAGGGAAAGGACTGAATTGTTATAGCTGTAGGTCCTGGTTTAAAAGATATATGTAACGAGTTCTTCTTAGTTTTACTCTTCACACTGCACGCAGTACGTACATGTTTTGTCTGTGTGCGTGTATGGCAGATGAAAACTAAAAGAATTATCTGATCCTGCAGTCTGGATTTTCATTTTTTAAAGAACAGTGATTTAATGTTTTGTATATGCAAACAACAATAGTGGGCAGGTTCCCTTTTGTGCTAGATATTTAGTATATTCAGCATGATGTTCTAATGTTTGATAGGTATTTAATTCTAACATGAGTAGGTCACTTTAATGAAAACATTGACAAGACCCTTAACTCAAACAGTTCAAATGTCAGCGTTAGAATACCAGCACATGCTTGTTAAAGAGAATATAAATAGATTTCAGGTACCATAATTGATTTTTCGCCCTAACAGCTGTTTCCTATTTCATGTTCTTCTAGTACTTTTGGACTTTAAACTTGATGGTGTTTCTCTTCTCTCCCCCCCCACCCTCTTTATATAATAATAGACATGGCTTTATGGCATCTGTATTAAAAATGGGTAATTTTCCTTATGGTCCCTGTCTTCCTGCTGGGTTGATAATGCTTTGATGTATTTTTCTTGTGCTCTGATGAGAGGTCTGCTGCTGCTGCTCTGACATATTCATTTGGATGAATAATTATAACATGCACAATGTCAAGCCGAAGATGGTAGGGTTTTGTGCGTCATGACAAGCCTAGTAGCCAGTGCAGGTGTCTCACAGCATGATCAGTAACAGCCAGTGTATTCTGGCTCAGGGACGACATTTTAGAATAGTCAGAAATCAGCCCCAAGGGCAAGACTGCTGCCATTGTTCCATGTGCCAAATAATGGAGAGCTTCCCAATGACAAGAACTAGTGTCGTTACTTTGTTCAGTCACATACTTTATATATATTTTTCTAATTAGTCAAATACGTATGCTGTCTATTCCATTTGTACTAGGGGATATAATGGTTCCTGCTTGTAATTATTCACAGAACCTTTATATTAAAGCCCTGCTTTTCCTTTTGAATTTTTAAAGCATTTTTTTTGTTAAAATATGCAATTTTGGATTTTCAAAATAAACCCTGCTGTATTTCTAGCTTCTGTTGCTAAGCCTGCCATGGAATCATGGAATATTGAATCAATACCACACACACAAAGGCTTGGATGGTTGATAAGGAGAGTTCTTTAAAGATTTCACATCCGACATTTTTTTCTTATTGCTGGTGGATATGGGGATTGGGAGGGGAGCCGAAGAGAGGGTTCAGCTTGAGTAAATGACAAATGGAAACCATTTTCCAGGCAAATCGGAAAGAATCATAAATTACTAAAAGAAGAGACCTAGCAGGTCACCCAATCCATACCCCTGCTGTGTCAGAACCTGTTCATGGCAATACATTTTTCCTCATGTTTTTGTCTTAATCCTCCAATCAATGTAGTAGATATTGCTAGCCTAGCAAGTCTTTTCTTCTATTATTTAGTTAAAAGGAATTTTCATTTCTGCTTAAGTTTAGGTATGGACTATGGACTTTTCCTCTTGCGTTTTGTGGCTTGATATCCAGAACAGGTATGGCAAATCATGGAAGCATCAAAAATCAATGTATTTTTGTTGCATACATGCTGGATGCACCTAGAGAAAGCTATTATTGAGCAGTTGCCCTGTTTCATTCATGGAAATATACTGTACAGGAGATTCAGATGTAGCTTTCTTTTGCTTATATCACTTTTTCTGTTGTTTTCTCCGTTTTCCCTTCCTGCCCCCATTAATAGACAAGATCTGTTAATAAAAGACAATAGAAGTGCAGCGTATTACTGTATTGTCTTTTCATTTTGAGTGGTAAAACAAACCAAAGTATGCTGCTTATATACTGCCCAATAGCTGCTCTGGGTGGTTACAGTTTAATTATGCAGGCTTGCGTGTATTGTCCCACCTCCCAGCAAGCTGAGAGTACTCAGTTTACTGACCTTGGAAGGCTGAAAGGTTTAATCAGCCTTGAGACAGCTACCTGAGCCTGTTGTGAGTGTAGTCTTGACTGCAGTTTAACCACTGCACCATGAGGCTCCTTAGTATTTTTGAGGTTCACAACCACCTCCCATATTTTTTTCAAAGAGCCAGGAGAAAATGAGAAACTTTCAAATCTTGCAAAAGGTCATTCCTTCTAATAGAATTTTGACCACTTGAATTTACTCTCCGTTGGGAAAAAAGGTGGCATCACCTAAAAATGAGATCAGTTCCTGCTTCTTTGTGGTCTCCCTGAAATCACATATGTGGGGTTCATTCTGTGCATGCTTGAACATCCTCAGAATCTTCTAGAGCCTAAAGAAGCACGCCCTCTCCACTACGCTTTCTCCCCC